ATCATTAGGTCCAAACAGCATTTCCACAAATATTCTTATAGATTTTAACTACGGTTTTTCAAATATTCTTTCTAAACTATTTAATACCTCATTTATAAATGGAAAATTTCCTGATATTTTGAAATTATCTTGCGTCATTCCAATATTTAAAAATGGCTCTAATCTTTCATGCACTAACTACAGGCCTATTTCTCTTTTATCTAATATTAGTAAACTTCTTGAAAAACTTATGTATTCTAGAGTGTACGCTTTTCTAAACTCATTTAATTGTTTAAATGATTTTCAATTTTATTTTTGATCAAAACATTCTATTTGCCATGCATTAATAAATATAACGGAAAAAATCAGGAAAGCTCTTGATGCTGGTTATTTCATTTGTGGTGTTTTTATCGATTTACAAAAAGCTTTCGATACTGTTGACCATATTATTTTGATTTCTAAATTAAAACATTATGGAATTCGTGGTATTGTAAATGGCTGGTTTCAATCTTATCTTGCAGATCAAAAACAATTTGTAAGTATTAATGGTTTCAATTCTAGTTATTAATCAGTTTTGTGTGGTGTTCCTCAAGGTTCTGTTCTATGTCCTCTTTTGTTTTTAATCTACGTTAACGACCTTATCAATTCTGTTCACTTCTCTTCAGTCCATCTGTTTGCTGGTGATACAAATCTCTTGCACATCAACAAATCGTACCATTCTTTATGTAAAAATGTTAATTCAGATCTAAAAGGTATAGTTCACTGGTTAAATGCTAACCTAATGTCTCAACACCGAAAAAACTGAACTAATTTTTTTTTCATCTCCAAGAAAAAACAATTTCTTTAAAAATGTTGAAATCAAAATCAAAATTAATAATAAACGGCTATATCCTTCAAGAGTTATTAAATATCTTGGAGTATTAATTGATTGTAATCTTTCATGGAACTTTCATATTGATGAACTAAGCAAGAAACTCGAGCTAACGGTATGCTTTCAATAATTCGTCATTATGTCGATTAAGTTACACTTAGGAGTATTTACTGTACATTATTCCATCTCATCTTAGCTATTGTTGTCAAGTTTGGGGTCAAGTTGGAAACTATTGCATTAACAAGTTGCTATCGTCTCAGCGTCAATCCATCTGATTAACAAACTTCCAATCAATTAAATCAGATACATCTAAGTCCTTCAAAAAACTTTTCATTCCAATATTTCTAGCGCTAGTAAAGTATGCTAATCTTCTTTTTGTTTTTGACTCCTTAAATAAAAACATACCATCTCCTATCACAAACTTGTTCACAGAAAGTAGACTATTACATTCATACTCGACTAGAAATATACACAATGGAAAACTAAATGTACCATCTTTTAAAACCCAGAAGTATGGTAAACATTCTATTGTTTATCAGTGCATCTGTGAATGGAACAGGAGCCTTGTATGCATTTTGAATGAGTCCAAAAAATATATCCTAAAGTACCTTTACTCCATCTTAAACAATATCAATTTAAAAAAATTCTGAAAAACTTTTTATTTTAACTTTTTGGCATTATTATCTTTAATAACTATTATCATCAGCACTTTTTTTTATTAGTAGAACCTGCAAATTGATTTCTACATGTTTGTTTTGATGTATATTTTATCTGCTTTGGTTTGTATGTTTACGGTCCATGTGATTCAGCGTGTGTATTTGCTTATTATTACTTATATTATACTAAAAATTGGTGTCACTCCTTTGATCAGATTTCTGTATGAGTGACACCATCCTAATAAATCATTAACTTATTATTATATTAATATTAGTTATTATTATTTTTTTATTGTAATTATTGTAAACATACTTATTACTATTACTATAATTTGTATATTTATTTATTTTTATCTTATGTTATTATTATATACTAGCTGGGGGGACCCGTAAAATACGGGTCTTTACCGAACCGACCATTTTTATACTTATCTATAGCTATCCGGACGTAAACTAAGGGTCTTAGTAAATCTATTCCACACCGACCTTTTCTATACTTATTCCTTACCTCAATATTTTTATAAAACTGTTTAAAAATGTACATATAAAAAACTATACTTACTTTTTGATATGACAAAAACATTTCTGTTAAAATGTTCTTTTAAAAACTTCAAACGATTTTAATATTATGCCGATTATAAAAATTTTAATAAGAAAAAACGTAAAAAAGACTACGAACTTAGAAAAATGCTAAAACATTCAACACGTGACGCCGTTAAAGTACGCCTTAGTTAACGTTCATAACATATACACATCTAATAAGATTTTATTTAAATTCAGTTGTTGCAAACTTGGTTTTGAATTTTTAATTACACTTCTTATGCGTCATAAATAGTCTTAAATTCTAAATAGAAAATACGTTTATGGGCTAATTGGTAGACGCGCAACACTTAGACAGATATAGTCATCTCACCCCGGGAGTTCATACTCCAGTGACCTTTTTTTTTCATCCCAACTTACAACAAAAGTAATTAAAAATAAATGTTATTATTGAAACAGTTTTAAACATTTCTTCCTATTTATCTTTGAACTTAACTTTATTCACTGCAAACATACTTTTGGTGTTTGTAAGCGTTATTTTACGTTTAGTATTTGTAGGAATTATTTGCACGCACGTATTTTAAACAATTATTTTTACTGTTTCATCTAAAAATCTTATTTAATTTAGTTTAATAATTTCTTAAATATAATATATATAATATAATTTAAAATATTTTATTAACCCTATTTAAATAAGTATCAAAACTCTTTCCTTTAATTTAAAAAGAATTTAAAATTAACGTAGGCTATAACGATATTTTACCCTTTCATCAACATTTATTTAAAAAGTAAATTTGGATATAGAAAAACGGGTTAAAGACTTATTATTTTAAATAAGTTAGCTTTATCTATTTAATGCTTTTCGTAAAAGCGTTTCTTTAAAGACTCTTAACAAATCATTCAAGCTGTTTTTACTGCCTAAGTTATTAAACCTATTGTGTGTGCCAAAAATCGATACTTAATGCAAATGGAAACTTCGAGTGCTAATGGTGATTAAAGGATAAATGGTTCCTATTCATATATAATAAAAGGAAATATAAAAGACAAAGCAAAAATGATTTTTATATCCATTTAAAACAATAAATCCCAAAATAAAAAAATTTAGATATTTACTTAAAAACATATTTTTCTTGATATAAAATAAAAATATAACCTTTAGTACAAATTACAAAAAAAATTTTTATTCAACAGAGCTACTTATAATACAATTTAAATTGAATCATTGTTTCATAAATATTAAGCTTTAGGTAAGCCATAATCAAGTCAGCTATAAGAAACGGAACTAAAAATGGAACAAAGTTATTTAAACGCATAATCATACACATTAATTACAAATTGTCATGCAATCAATACTTTTGAAAACTCAAAAATGCGAATAAGAAACTTACTTTTTTATTTTTACATAACCCTGACAGACCAACATGAATGTGAGCTAAATCTATTTGCATAAAACATCACCACAATTAATTAAATAGCAGAACCACCTTCAAAGGACAAAAAAATTAGTTTTTTAAGGAAAATTAGAGTTATTGGGAGGGGAGGTATTAATAAATAAAAAAGCTCAACTTGAATTTCAAAATTAGTTCATAGTTTTGTTGAGGGTTATTGAGTTATTCTGAGTTTATTATACATATTTTAAACTACTAACACCACACACTTATATTCTTAGTTCTGGAAGGTGCTACATAGAATTTGATAATATTACTATTATTATCAAAACTATTGTAAAATGATTTACGGAAAATAAATAGCTTGTTGTTGTTGTTATATATATTTTTGTATAGTATAGTATAGATACAACCATAAGTTAATATAGTATGGATACATCATATAGTTTTAAAGTATGACAACAACTAGTTATTAAGTTAACTTTTTTCACAAGTTATTGGCATGCTACAAAACTATATATCTATACTATGGTCGCTTTCCTTGTTTTAGCTAGGCTATGAGAGAGTAAACCATCCATTATATAGATTGTATGTATATTTTTTTAACCATAAATTTAAAGTGAAAACAAGTTTATGTAATAAATCTAAATTTTTGGAAAATATATTGCTATTGTTGCTAAAAAAAAATTTTTATTATTTAAATAAATAACTTAACATATAGCAGTACAAAAACTAATATAAAATTATATTTAATCGGCAATAACAAACAAAATCTGAAATCTTTTACAATAATAAAAACGCCATTTTTTAATATTATTAGATGATTTAAGGTTACTTCAAACTAAAGTCATAAAATAGCAGACGTAACTTTTCTTGCGTAAAGTTAGCTGAGCACTTTTTAGAAAAATGTTGTGAATACCGTTTTTTATATTTTTTGCCTAAGTAATAATTTACGCAAAAACCTATGTTTTCGGTTACGCAAGGTTTGCGAATGACTTTGCGTAACTTTGAAGAAAAACTTACGCAAACTTTACACAAATTTTGGACTTGCGAAAGTGTTGTGAATCCGCACCCAGACCGTGTAATTTAAGTAGGCCATGGAAATAAAAGTAAAACACGCGTGCAAATTCTAGGAAAACATTTTATATCTTTAGAAAACATCCAATAAACACAAACGTTCTTATAATTGCAATAAAAAAATATATGCTTCAACAAAATAGCAAAAACTTCTTAATATTAGAGCTTAACAGTTGTAATGAAAAAAAAACAACAACATGATTGCGGATACTTTTTACTAAATGTTAATGCTGCTTAATATTTTGAAGTAAAATTTATAACTATATTATATTTAAAACTTTTTAGTAAACGATTTGACGGAGATTTTTGTATTTTTATCAAGACAAGGTTTGTAGAAATAATGGATTATGTTAAAAAAAGTAGACTAAAAGTTATGCGCGTAAAATTTCAAAAAATCTACATCGCGTTGCGTTTAAAAAGGTGCTATTTTACAAATATGTTGTAATCACTTATAGCGAAGGTAGAAGGGAAAGAGGAGGACAAAGGTAATTAAATTAAAAATATTATTTATGTTTAAGAACAAATTTAACGAGTTAAACAAAGTTGGCGATATTATAAATAAAGTTTAAATAAATGCATATAATAAAGTTTATTAATCTAAAAAAATACACACACAAAAAACGAAGCACACACACAAAAAACGAAGCACACACACAAAAACAAAACACACACACAAAAAAAAAACAACACACACACACACAAAAAAAGAAAACAAATAATTATCATAACAGCAAAAAATTTTCAATCTTAATTATTAGATAATTAAACAATCTCAACTATTTGACTCTTCTATGCAGATTAATAACCATAGTATCGATGCTAATGACGCCGACGAATAATTCGTCAATAATCAACTTTGACATGTTAAGTCTGATCAGCTGAGTTCTTTGTAGAAGCGATTTGATTTATCTTTCCCTTAAAAAAAATGTTATTAAAATAGATTTAATTGTAATTAAATTTTTTTTTGCGCCGAGTAAAGTTTTTAGTAGGATTAAAACCAGTGCTTAAAATTGGCGCAGTGGTTAAAGTCCTGTCTTCTGAACCGTAAGCACAGCGAGGTAATCAGGTCCGAGGTTCAATTCCCTGGTTAAACGCTCTTCCACAGTGCTCTGAGACAAGATCGGTCTTTTTTAAATCTTGCTTTATCGATCTTATTTACCGAGTTTGGAGTGTGCTGTGTACAGGTTCGTCAATTTAGCACAGAACAAGAAAAACTTGATTGAGAGACTTTAACAATATTTTAACTTCTTGAGTGACTGCTTTAACAATATTTTAGGCTTCTGAAGGTTTGCATGTATTTTTAATTAAAAGATCAAGAACATTAATTACTATCTATGAGTTATCAACCAAGGATAGGCTTGCTAATTCAAAAACCTTGTGTTAAACGACGTTTAAAAAACCTTGTGTTAAACGACGTTTAAAAGTTAACTACTTCACAAAAAACTACTCCGAATTATCTTGACACTATTGTCAAGATATTTTGGACCATTTTGGACCAAAATAAAAAAAAAAAAAATAAATAGAACGAACAATTTGATGTACATCCAAATAAGAAGATAAATTTTTTTAATTTCACTTGTCTCCACTGTATATTTTATATTTTTTAAATACCATTTTGAACAACATAATAATTGATTGGTAGATGGATTTTAGAGATTAAAATGGATGGTATGGTAGATGGATTGGGGGATGGATTTTTAAAACCTATAGATAATATACATAAATAGTTGTTTATATATTTGAAAACATGTTCAATTCCTCTTGTTTGTAAAAAAAGGTCACCCCGCAATTCCAATTACGTTTCGTCATTTATTTAATCTGCTACTACTAATACGTGTGGCTTTCCCACAAATCATTTAAAACTTGTATAGATTAGAAGTGTTTAAAACTTTAGAACATTGAAATGCATCAATAAGCCTCGGTTTATCAGTTGTTAACACCATGTATTAGATAGAATTCTCCGTTTGGTGATGGATGAAGAACATGGAAGTAAAACACAATCACCAAACATCGAATATCCATTTGTATCTCAACTGTTAAAGGAGTAAAAACAACTGAAAATACAGTTTGATAATGAAACAAAAGTAATTCTCGAAACATTAGGCTGGAGAGATGATATGAAATTATTGTTTCATCTCACTTGAGTGTTCCAATTTTTTGAGGAAAAGGGACATTTTCCATTGATCAGGTTTCAGAGAATACCCAACATCAGCAATGCGAGGTGGAACTCAAGAGCTATACTAGCAATCCTGGCCTTCATTTTAATTTCTTCAACAAGGACAGCTGCAGAGATTATGTCGATTTATATCATATGGCTGGGCAGACCATTGGTTTACAGACCAACTGTACAACGAAAACAACTAACAACTTGGCTGAAATACTGAATCCATACAAAAAGACTTTAAGCTCTTTGAAAAATCACTGGAAATGAGAGCCATCCATACTATAGATACCCAGAAGTAATAAATGTGCAGAGCACGCAACCAAAGTAATGGAGGAAATTTATTCATTATGCAAAAATAAAGAAAAATTGCACCTTCGATTCCTTCTGTGCAAAAAGCAAGAGCAAGATCAACGGTCTGAGTCATTGTTGGATTGAAAATTTATTGTATTACATGACTATGACATTATAAATACATTTGAATACATAGTAGTTCTTATGTCAAAATCAACTTTTCAATGGCTGATGAACTTTTTTGAAAAGACGTGCAAATAATAGTTCATTTCGTGCTTTTTAGGTAAAAGTTCATCAAACTACAGTACAGGAGCATGGGGTTGATAAAAAGTCATAACCCTAATATACACACACAAATATATATTATAAATATATCTTTAATAGTAGTAGTAGTAGTAGTAGTAGTAGTAGTAGTAGTAGTAGTAGTAGTCGTAGTAGTAGTAGTAGTAGTAGTAGTAGTAGTAGTAGTAGTAGTAGTAGTAGTAGTAGTAGTAAGCCGAGGTAAGAGCGAGAAAGAGTCACTTTTTTATAAGGAAGTTTAAGTAATTTATATCTGTAATAACAATATGACATTTAAAATTACGCAAAGGTAAAAAATTTAATTTGTATAGCGTTACATATAAGAATATAAGACAACTTTAAAATATAATTTTAACAATTAGAAGTTGTTTTTGGTATATTATTTTTTTGCTATAAGTATATACAGCAAGATTGAAAAAATTTTAAAATGTATTTACGCTAAGGGGAGGATTTGAACCCTTATATATTATGCTAAGGGGAAGATTTAAACCCTTGGAAACAACACTGATGACAGCACACTAAACCACTCAGCTATTGAAGATATGCATTTAAGAGAAAAACAAACCAGTTTGATAAATTTCTTATAATTTATATAAAATAATTTGCTCCTTTTTCTAGATGAATTATTTTTCTACTGTTTACATATTATATTAGCATAGAAATTATTGGTGTGGAATATGTAAGTATAGGAAAAGTTCGTTTGGTAAGACCCGTATTTTACTGGTCCAGCTAGCTAGGATATTCATATATATATATATATATATATATATATATATATATATATATATATATATATATATATATATATATATATATATATATATATATATATATATATATATATATATATATATATATATATATATATAAATATATATATATATATATATATATATATATATATATATATATATATATATTTATATATATATATATATATATATATATATATATATATATATATATGTATATATATATATATATATATTGCATAAAGAATGTTTCTAAAATTAACAAATAAACTATATCACTAGATTTTTATTTTTGTTTTAGGTGATCCAAGAAGACCTAACGTTTTTGTTACAGAGCATTGCAGAAAAGCCTTTAACTAGTTCACGCCATCTTCCTTACCAATGGTGCAAAATATGCTCAGAGCTTGCTTTGAAACCTGGATCTTTTGCTTCTAAAGCAAGCGCTCTAACCACTGCACCACGGCTGCTTATTAAGTTCACTTGAATTATAGAGCTGCAGAAAAAATAAATGAAAATAAAAAATAAAAAAAGTACTTTTTTTGAGTTTTCCTCTAAAAACATAAAATAAAAATAGAAAATATGTAAAATAGTAAAAAAAAGTATTAGTAAAAAAAAAGTAAAGTAAAAAGTTGATTATATGTTTACACCCTTTTATATTTATTTTTAAAAATTCTTAAATGTTAATTTAAAATTTTCAGGTTTGAAATCAGTTGAGCTGATCTCTGAAAAAAATTCAACAACATAAAAATAATGAATTAGGTAAAAGTGTGACTGAAGGATCCCCTTTCGTTTAAAGAACCCAATTAATTAAAAAACTTTCAAGCTAGACTCTCCATAATATCAAAAGATATGTCAGATATGTACAATCAATACGATAGCAATCGAATGTAATAGTTGTTGTAACAAAAAATTCAAAAATATATTTATAGAACTACATTAAAATTAACAATTTGGTAAATATAAATAAAAGGTAACTCAATTTCTCTCAATTTAACCACTCTTTTTAATGTTATTTCTGATCAAATTGACCAAGCCCTCTCTCCTTATCAATCACCCAATATTGTTGGCTGATGGTGACTTTAATGCTAATCACATTGAATGGCTTGGTTCTAGTGTCAGTGACTCTACAGGCATTAAGGCTCACAACCTTTGCCGTTTACAATCTCTAATTCAAATAGTCAACTTTCTAACTCACTTTTCCGACAACCTGAATCATTTACCTTCTCTACTCGACTTACGCTTTGTTTCAATGCTCAGTTTCCCCTCATTCACACTTAGGTGCTTCTGATCACAGTTTGATCTCTCTAAAACTATTATCTCATTCTTCTTGATCATCAGAATGCCCTTATCGTTGTACCTCTTACATCTACCTTAAAGCTGCCTGGGACTTTTTACTGGAAGTTCGTAATGGCCATCATGGTTTTCTTCATGATGGCCATTACGAACTCCCATATTTTAAATGCTTTTTTATAGTTAATGCAAAAAAGTTATGATTGTTATTATCTTTGCAAAAAAAGATAGTTCTGATTGTAAATATCTTTGCAAAAAAATTTTATTTTTATGAAAGCCTTCAAGGTTAACAACCCTGATTTAACTAAAATTAAACTTTAAATTATTTTTCAAATGCCTATTTTCAAGAAAGGGTCCAGAACAAAAATATTGAACTACCATCCTGTTTGACTTACATCCGTACCCTACAAAGTTCTCGAGAGCATCATACACAATCAAATTATGAAATTCTGCAACAAAAACAGCCTTATCACCAAAGAGCAACATGGTTTCATGAACAAAAGAGGCTGCATCACAAATCTACTAGAAGCAAAAGAATCTTAACTGAAGGTGTTCATCAAAGTAATACTATTGACATAATTTACACTGACTTTAGTAAACCCTTTGATAGGGTATTACACTGTCAACTCCTGTATAAACTCAAAGCATACAGCATTAGTGGGTCATTAATTAATTGGATCAAACAATGGCTCCCCAATAGATAATAGCAGGTGATAATAGATTGCCATGAATCTGAATGGAAGAATGTTACAAGTGGGGTACCACAAGGTTCAGTTCTTGGCCCACTACTGTTTGCCCTCTTTATTAACAATCTCCCTGATAATATCATTAACCACATTAAAATATAGTTGATGATAATAAAATTATGGGAGTTATCAAATCAAGTGAAGATGATGCTTTCTTGCAAAATGACATCAACAAAGCAATAGACTGGTCAAAAAATGGCTTTTGCTATTCGACTCAGACAAATGTAAAGTGATGCATGTAGGCAAAAAAGGAAACAAATCCACACAACTACACAATAGAAAATAAAGATAATACACATCATCAACTACAAATCACTACCATTGGACATGACCTTGATGTTTTTGTTTCAGACTTCATCTCAAAGTCAAACAACAGGTTGATTTGGCAGCTTCAAAAGCAAATATAATGCTTGTAAAGTTCAAAAAATCATTTAGAAGCAGAGGTATGCAGCTTTGGAAAATACTCTATACGACTTATGTTAGACCACACTTAGAATTTGCTATCTAAGCTTGGTCATCCTATCTCAAATGGGAAATAAAAAGACTCAAACAAATTCATGCAAATTCACTACAAGACTATTGGGTAATTCCATATGAAATCATCCTAAAAATAAAACATTTTCGACACCCTTACATCTCAGAATTTGTTCATTTTTACCTCAATTGCAGTCCATATTAAAAAAATAATAACTGCGTAAATTTTAGTTAAAAATGCACATGGGTTCTAGAGATATTGTCAGCTGAAATAATGCTGAATCAGCATTTTAGTGATTATCTGAAGCAACTTCAAAGTGTAATTTATTGACTAATTTAAGATATTTATAGTAATGAGCCAAGACCCTAATTTATGTTTGAGAACTTTTTTCTCTATAAAATAAAGCACAATTATAAAAAGTATAAAATATTAATCAAAATATAAAAATACAAATAAAATGTAAAACATTTTTATAAATGTTGCAAATTTACAATAACTTTCCAGGACTGGTGGAACCCTGATAATTGTTTACAACAGTTACCAATAACTAATTAAAATTAACTTTTAACCAAAATTCTTTTGTTTGGGAAACTATTTTTTGAAAGAAATCAGAACCAAACATAAAAAACTATTAACTGGACAATAAATTTCTAACTGGTTAACAAATCGGCTAACTAGTGCCTAAAGTGAACTAAGTAACTAATGACTAAATCTAATCTATGACTATGCATTGATGTAAAAAACCTATCAGGGCTTGATTTAACATAAAATCAAATCTAATTGTGAAAATATTTTTTGTTTTAGAATTTCCACCCGGCATTATAACTTTGCATTGAAGGGGGTTTGTGTTAGTATAAAATTATACTTTTGTTTGCACCTTTTTACTTTAGTTTGTATTTCCTATTTTTTAAACATATCATATTTCCACAATATTTCTCATATTTCCATAATATCTAAAAATATTAGTGTTTGGCAGGGTTTAAAATATCTTAAGGTTTAAAATATCTTAAGTTACAGTTATAATCTACAGCTAAGTTATAATTTGATGCTTAAGTTGGTGTTATAATGTAATGTGCGAGTAACTTATTTTATTTATTTTTATTACAACAACATATTTATTAATATTAGAATAATAACTTTGTTTCAACTTAATATGCACCACTATGATACTTAAAAAAGATTAAATCAAAAAAACTCAAAAATACCTAATATATTACTTATCATTTTCTTTCTGTATTTATTGCTTCTTGATCTAGTGTACTATTTAAAATTTAATTAGAATTTAATTAGTTTCTTCATTCAACGGCTTTTTAAGTTGATGTTTTCATTCAATTCTTTTGTTGAATTGTTTTGCAATAAAATAAAGCAAGATAAAAAAAAATTGGCTTAATAAGTCAAATTATGTTTTAATAAGTATAAGGTATATACTTTAAACTTCAGATTTTTTTCTTTCGAAAAAAATATTTTGAACGGAATTAGAATAACTAATCTTTTTGAACTTTTTATAATTTAACTTTCAATTCATTTGTTTAATAATAATTTTTAAAACAAATTTCTTAAAAAAAAATTGCGTATTTACAGAAAATGTTTGATCTTGGTATTAATATATATAAATAAAATAATAATAAAAAAAAAAAAAAAAAAAAATGGTGTTGCATTTTTTATATTTTCTTGTTAAAAATTTTTTTAGCTAGAAGTATATTATGTGTTAACAACATATAAGATATAAATAAAACCATTTGTATGGCTAACTTTTGCAAATATGTGTCTTTGAGCATATTAAGTCTATTTAATAGATAAGTTTCAGTATTTAACTGTGATGTGCTTTATCCATAAAGTACATCAAACTAAATTTAACTTCCACACAGAGATTTAAAGTAATTAAAATTCAAAAGCGCTTTATGTTAAATGAAATTTTTTGCGCAAGAGAGCTTATGACCTCATTTTAATAAAAAGTTAAATTACTTTATGCATGACCCTAATAAAAAAAAAAAAAAAAAAAAAAAAAAAAATTTTTATTTTTAAGAATGGCTAAAAAAAAGCTAAATTGAAAAAATGAAAAAAAAAATCACTGAATTCAGAAAAACATTATATTCAGGATTTAAAAAATCACTATTTTTTAAATCCTGAATATAATGTTTTTATTATAAAATATTTTGTGCTTTATTACTGCATAGAAAAAATCTGACAACAATAAATAAAAACATTATTACTGCTTTGAATATTGGCTTATAAAATTAACATCATTACTTACATGTGAAGTCCTGATGCCACCTTGGCTCCAAAACACAACTTCACAAGTGTTCATTTTACCAGTCCTCTCATCAAATGAATGACACATCTTAAAAGGAGGAGAATACAAATGAAGCGAAACAGCTCGTTGATTAGGACTTTTATTCTCAATACGATGTAATCCAATAGTATCTATAAAAAAATTTGTTTTTATCTAACAGCATCTGTAAAAGAAAAGTTTTATTTTAATAAAAGTAACATACAAACTTTTATGTAGAGGCTATCAAGTCCAAAAGATTTTATGCAGAGAACATTTTTTAGTTGCACATTTTGTTATTTATATTCTATTCTCCATTAAAATTGTGCTAAACATACACAGATATGTACCTGCACCCTGATAAAGATCAAAACCAAATACCAGATGTATCACAGACTAAAAATTTTTTATCCCTACTAAATTTAGCTTCTCTTTTATATATTGCATAGAAGGTACTCTTCTAATGAAAAGAATCATCTGCTCATATGCAGAGTAATATTCTTTTTCAAGACAGAAGAGTACACATTTACCATGGCTGCAAAGCTCCTTAACCATGATAAAAGTACTATATTTTGTTTCACAGAGCTAAAAATCAATGACTCCTACACACACATAATATATATATATATATATATATATATATATATATATATATATATATATATATATATATATATATATATATATATATGAATGCACATAATATATAAAATATCATTTCTTATTTTAGTGTGTTATAGTAAAATGAAAAATAATGGAACAAAATTTGCTCTGAAAATTACAAATAAAAACATAAATTGTAGCGATTCTCTGGATAAAATTTTTGTTATTATAAAATTGTGGCATTTTAATGGTGGCATTTGATTCTATACAAAACTTATCATTTCTTGTATTTAGATTGGAACCTATATAGAAGAATAGATTGTTATTTAGATTTTATTAAGGTTGTTTAGAAAAAGTGCTTGCTTTTTCTAAACAACCTTAATAACAATTTTGTAATTATCATATCGTAACATTTTTAATTATCATATCAAGTTTTATTACTATAAAATTTATATTATAAGACAATAAGTAAATAAGTTTATATTATAAGACACTAAGTAAATAAGTTTATATTATAAGACAATAAGTAAATAAAGAATTGCTTTATTTTAATTTTTTATGACAAACTTGGTGCCAATATAAAATTCTTTTAAATTGAGTTTAGGCAGAAATTTAGGGGCCCATACCAGTATATCAGTATCAAAATCGGCCTGGTTATGTCGTTGAATGATGATGTATGTTTTACTGACAATACACTTTTTACATCTGTACAGATGATATTTATGATTAAAAAACCCCTTTCACATTCTGCATTGCTCACAGGCATGATCCTTGATGAAAAATAAAGACATTTTTTTGATAACATTTTCACTTCCAACAAGGCTGCAAGCAACCACTATTAGAGTTACTAGAAGAGAAAAGATGAAGTTTTTAGAGCAAGATAACAATTGACAGACAACTTAAAAAATTGAAAATTATATGAATCAGGAAAACAAAAAGAAGGAAAAGAAATGCGAGGAATTTTAAGATTGGCAATCTGAGTTGCTACAATGTTTGAAAAATATCAAAAGAAGGAGATACATCATGACCATTAAAATGATTCTTGAAGTCATAAAACTCCTGTTTTGTTAAAGAAAAAATTATCAAACAGAAAGTTGCATAACATTTTCAGCAGTTTCCAAAAATTCTTAGGAAATTTGTATTTCATTTCTTTCATTTCTTAGCCATAAATATGGTTCAAAGCATTGCACTCATTAGGTTCAGATTAGGGATTGCAAATTCCTGGACTTTTTGCTATCCTGGGATAGCGTGAATTATTCAGTGTTCTTGGGGTCCTAGGAAAATCCCAGGAACATACATTTAAATCAACTACAAACAAATAGATTTTTTTTTTTTTAATATTATTCTTAAAACTATTTTTGTGATATAAAGTGACCTTTTAGAAAAACCAGTACATACAGATGACTTTCTGATAATCTAGTTCCAAACTTTGTAAAAATTAAACCTGTTGAACTAAAAACTCTTTGCCCAGCAAGCATAGATGTCTGTGGGACATCTATACGACATCTTATGGACGTCACATGTCTGTAGGACGCCCTTAAGACATCCAACGGACATTCTGTGCCTGTTGGATCAGCTTCAGCACTGGATGGTTTGAATAGTTAAAAGTCCATTATAAAGTCTAAATTATGTGATCTTTTGTAAGTTGCTTCAAACAAAATGAATTCTTGACGCAGAGTTGATTTGTTGCAATTAACTACAGAATTTTTTTTTTTTCACAAACTTTTGTAATCTTTAAGCCGTAGATTCCGATGACTTTTCTAAACTGACATTACTATTGTTAAGCTTATCATTAATCATAATATGGTTAAGGTTATAATTATCATTAATTTTATCTTGTACTTTTATTATATTTTCATATATGGGGTAAAGTCTCTCAGTTATTCAATTGCTATATTTATCATCTAAGTTTTAGATGGTATGCAAAATAAGTTGGCATGCAAACCAACAATATCGATTTTCCTTATTTAATATATACTTTCAATTAGAGCATTTTTAAGATTATTTGCTAAATAGCAATCTTGAGCATTAAGTTTTGTAAACATTAAATTTTAATGTGTCATCAGCTGTTAATTATGTTGCTTCCCTTCTACAAATCATTTCAGAACCTAAAACAATTAGCTCAAGACTTTTTGCTAAACTTTCAACTATTTCCAGCTCATCAAAATTAACAATTTGTATTAAAACCCATGGCTACCAAAAAAATAATCCTGGGATCTCAGAAAAAATTCACTGGGATTTCAGAAATTTGGTTTATTAATTTTTCCAGGAATTTCCCAGGAACAAGTTCCTGGAAACAATCCCCAGTTAAGTGTGGTTTTCATTAATTGTGCTTGAATTAATAATTAATACAGCTTCTGATAGAAGGTGGCCTGATAAATTTAATTTGGCCTGATAAATCTAATATATTTGGATCTTGGAAAATACCATTTTCAATAACCAGTTAAATTCAGAAACCTTGGGTCCTCCTCCATATTTTCTCCCTTCATAGATAAATATGAGACAAAAGATAATGTGAATTACTTTTGTGAGTGTAACATTTTTTAAATGTAGAACTTCTGAAATCGATTGGAGTTCTTATAATGCATAATACATTAATGCCAGGTTTTTAAGAAACAAAACGCTTGCAAGTTTTTGTACAAGGCTTTTAAATTTGGCTCTCTTCTTTGAGTCCCATGTTGGAACAACTGAAATATTTATGAAATGCAAATTTAAAGCTTTAAAGTTGTGCAAAATGACCTTTACAGTTCAAAATGATGATGCAACCTAAAGGCAATCAATTAAGTCTCCACAAAGAGTGTAGCACTCTGCCAGCATTCGTATCATTTAACTCATGTAAATCAATAAAATCAGGATGGTGTAAGGTCTGTTGTTTTTAGAAATATAGTATGCCATTCCTAACACGCAATCAGTTGTTTCTCAGTCTAATTGGTTACTTTTTGTAAAGTTTGCTTTCGAACTCAGAAAAGATAAGCATTTGCTCATCTTTTCTGAGTTCGATAAGTTTTCAAGCCTGCCAATGGGCTTCAGAAATTTTGTGTACATTAACTGCAAATCAAGAGTTTCACCATTAAGCATTATGGAGCACCCAGTCCATTTCTTAGAATAATTTTCTGGCTTTATTGTATCGCAAACAGACATAGCTGTCTGTACTAACAGGCCTTGTAAACATGTATATAGGGGAATGGGACTTGAGGGCAACAATATTCTAAAGTTATTTTGTTTAATAATTGCAAGCAACATCTATACTAATTTTTAACTAAAGTAGAACTATTAACTAGTTTATAAATACAAAAAATGCCTAAAAAAATGTTGCGTGACAAACCGTAATGGTAATTAAAATAAGAAAAATAAAAAGTTTTTCAGCTTCCTTACAAAAAAGAATATACTCGTTGGGTTAATGCTATACCACGAGGCAATATACCTGACAGTCTAGATACAGTTGTTTGTGAAATACATTTTCTATCTGGATATCCAACAGTATACAACCATAAAAGGATTCTACATTAGTTTTTACATGTGTAAAACCTACTTTAATATCTACTCTTCCACCGCCATTAAGAACAACTTTTAAAGCATCTTCATCTGTCCATTATGCCTGATGAAACATTATGCCTGATGAATAATTTTTAGCAGCTGATAAAATTACATTCTTGCTCATTACATCAGAAGTTACAAAATAAAGAAATTGATTTTGGTGTAGTTAAGGTGTAACTTGGTATTTAGCTAGTGATCAGTTACTGATCTCTCAGTCAACAGACTTTGAAGAAAATTCTTCAATTGTCAAATTTATGTTTAAGATCAAAAATGATCTTACTTTTGTGGGATTAAACATAAAATTGAATCTCTATCTCTACCAAGTATATAATACTGAAGTAGAACTGTCAGCAAATGCTTCTAAAATTTTGGAGTGGCCCAGTTCCAGTTCAATATTTTAAGGTGTTCCAAGAAAATAAACAATTTATTTTTTGGCTGATGTAATGCTTAAAAATGTATAAATATTTGTTTTATTATTTTGTATTTTTAATAAAATAAAATATAATACTATAATATAATATAAAACAGTTTAACAAAATAAATAGTGTATAATAGTATTTAATTACTATGTATCAAATATATATATATATATATATATATATATATATATATATATATATATATATATATATATATATATATATATATATATATATATATATTTAAGACAGGATTAAAAGGATTTTCTTCATAATCAATTCTTGCTCAAAATTACAAAAAGCTATTAATTTTTTAAATAACTTAACAAAAAATAATAAAATAGTAAATCTTTTACAACAAAAAATAATTTTGATAAAAAAGCAGGATTAGTATATATGAGTAGATATATTGTGCAAAATAACTTGAAGAGCAAGAAGATGGTAAATTTTATTATGGAGAATTCAGTGGTTATACTGTTAAAATTTTGAGTTTTGTAAATACCAAATGACAATGTTTGTCAGTGGACCATTTTTTCATATATTTTAATTCATGAAATTGTTAATGTTTGCCAAACATCATTCTACAATATTTTATTGTTAATATCAGAATTTTTTAACTATATTAGGAAAAGAAACATGCAATTTCATTTTCAAACATTTTTTTAAAAAACTTGTTTATATTCACTAATGTCATCTAAAGAGTCAGATTTTTAGAGTCAAGATTTTGAAGCTTTTAAAGTAAACCTATTGTGTGTGTGTGCTTTTTTAAAACAATTCTTAAATTACTTATATTTTCTGTTTGTTTGGTAAAAAACTTTGGTAAAAAATTTAGCATTTTAATCTATATCTATGAAATATTTTAAAAATTTTGTAACAAATTTTGTTGTTACTATATATGTTCAATTTATGGTTTTCTTCGAAACTTCAGCATTTTAAAACATACTATATAATTTTTTTTTTTTGTGGCATCTGTGCGATTTTTTTTGCATCTTATAGCTGAGCAATGTTTTTCTAAGTTTTGTTTTTTGGACAAAATTTTATAGCTAAGGAATATTTTTTTATCTTTGTAATAAACTTGTTATGATAAAATAGGTTTTAGTTATTGAGTAATGTAAATAGATTAGCTAGGGATCACTCAAACTAAATGGAAATGCTCAGGCATATATAATAAATAGTTCCTTAGCATACTAAATGATTGTTGAGGCCATGATGATCAACAACTTGTTGCTAATGTGCTAATAAAAGTTCGCAAGTTTTCGCTCACATTTTTATATGAAACAAAAAATAAAAATATAATGTCAATAAAATGTCAATAAAAATCACTGCACAAAAGTAAAATAAGTTTATACTTTTATTAATGAAACAAATTAGGTGGTGTGCAATTTATGGACAATCCCATAAAAAAATTAAAAAAATAAAAAACCTGGAATGGTTGCAATAAAAAAAAGAAAAAAGAAGTAAAACAATTTTGTGATTTGTCAGGTGTGGAAGCGTTCCCCTGCATCCCCTCATAGTTTAACCCCTGTTCATACTACCCCTGTTCATACTAACCCTGTTCATACTACTTCATAGTCAAGGTGTTAGTTAGAAATATATATTTTACTGCGTTTTTACGATTTTTGGAACATTTGTTGTTATTGTTCAACAAAATATTGGGAATATTTGTTGTTATTGTTCTACAAAATATTAGGAATTTTTATTAATATTGTCTTATTCAAAAAAAAAGAAGGAAAAAAAAAATCATTGAATTTTCGGAATTTCACTGTATACACGGTGCCATTAGGCTGGCTAACACCCTGATAGTATAATAAATTTTTCAGCTATTTATGTGTTTGTAAATAATGACAACAACCACATAAAGTTATGATTTTTAGTCCTTTTCAATAATAATCATGATTAAATCATTTATGCTATGTTTGAAATTGAGCCAAGTTCAACCTGGTAGCAATATAGTTTTTGGCATCCATTTAGCAGATAAACATAAAAGTCAAATAACACAACTAGATTATTGTTTATTATAACATGAAATTATAAATGAAAAATTACATTTTAAAAAAATGTTTTAGTTATATATAAACTCAATATTCATAAATACTTCATTGCTCTCTAAAGCATCTGAACTATATGCATTAGATAAAGTATCTGTATAGTAAGCTATTACTATCTGCATAGAGTAAGCTATTACTATCTGCATAGAGTAAGCTATCACTACCTGTATTTAAATGCAGATACCTGCATTTAAATAAAACATGAAATATTTGATAAGTACTTTTTTTGATTTGTTGCTGTTCTTTGCAAAGCTGCAACAGGAAAAATCAATTTAGGTTTTTTTTTCCATCAACACGACACACTAACTTGGCATTTTGGGCATTCCCTTAACTTTTTTATTCTACTAATGTTTTTAGTACATACACATTCCTCTTTACATTTATCAAAGGCTTTCTTTTCATCCTTTTTTTTCCTGCCTTTTGCATTTGTTTTCAGGTTTTTTGTTCTATCTTTTGATTTATGCCTTTAACTTAACTCAAAACATCTTTAGCTTTCATGGAGCCATGTACTTGAGTTATTTGTGTTAAATTGCTTGATAGATTTGGCTTTACTTTTTTAATGGTCATAAATCATGGTATCTCTTCTAACTGGATGCTCTTTTTGCACAACTCTTTAATCAAAGTTTGAGCACTTTTCTTTTTAATACAATGCTTAATACAATGCAATGTTCGATACAATGCTCTTCTTTTATCTAGGAAGACAATAAAAAAGAATCAAGGGACATAATTGATTGTGTGAATGAAACTGATGGTTCTTCAGGAGCCTCCATAAAATTATCTGTTCTATCAAACTTGTCCTGTTGCATGAATTGCAACAGGACAATCCAGAATTTACCATACATGAGTTTTTGACTTTATGAAAATCCCGAAAATTTTTTAAATGAAAATCCCGGAAAATTATTTTAATAAAAAATCTGGAAAATCCAGGAAAATTATATGATCAACAAATTGAATGTTGGTAAAATGATAAATAAAGTAACTAAACACTACTGAATAATTATGTTTCTCTAAAACTCTCTAAAATCAAATATAATATCTCAGTTTTACCGTAAACAATATGCAATGAGTAATAATTTATTTACTTTTTAAATATAAAATGTCAGACAATTGTTCAGAAATTAATTCCTTTTATTCTTATAGCTTTCTGCTGCAAAAAATTCATCAGCTTTTCTTCTTCTGCACTTTTTTGCATAATCATTAACAGATTTTTAACTGTTTTGTACTGTTCATTTGAGGCAATCTTTTTTTTCTGTGTTGAATTTTAATTATAAAATCATTCTTCAACTTTTTTGTTTTTTCGATTGGAATTCTATTTTTAAAATTTTGTAAACTTTTGTAAACTTTTTAAAATTATTGTAAACAGAATTTAGATTATTTAACTTTTTACAAAAAGGAATTTCTAATATTTGAAAAAGTTAGTTTGAATGAATTAAAAATAATAAAATAAAAATAAAAAAAGTTGTTACCAAAATTGATCTCGTGAAAATTATAGAGAACATATTTGTTTAAATAAAAACATTATCGTATTTAAAATTTTATATAATTTTTTTTTAAACTAACAACAAAAAACATCAGGAAATTTCTGGAAAATTAAAAGAGTTTCAAGTGAATTTCCGGAATTCTGGGAATTCCCAGAAAAAACTCATCTATGACTTACATATGATGGATATTTATAAAGCAAATAAATTTTCATTTTTTTCATTTTTTCTTTATCTAAAAGTGTCTGCTTGTAAGTTGTTATTTTTAAAATTAAAGTGAGTATAATATACCAGTACAGTATTGACCTAAAACAGCATTAGTAAATTCATTATAACAATACCGTTAATATATGCAACTTGATTTTTTGTATAATCTTTGACAATGTTTGACTTCATTTGGACATGACCTGTATTAGTATGGCAATCTACTTGATTTGGCCAGTCATAAAGCTTTTCTGTAAGAGTTCCATCCATTACTTTCATCCAGCAATGGGAGTTTGCATGATCATGAATAGCACTAAAAGAATGTTTAAGTTGCAATTATCAAACTTTTTTATAATTAAAAAAAAAAATTACCATATAAAAACAAAAAGTAGAACTGAACTACTGATAACTATTTTAGCCTGAGTATCTAAGACTTTAACTCACTCTAAAGCAAGGTGGTTTTAACCTGAAACCTCCTACACTTAATTGCTGAAAATCTAAATCAATAAAAAAACTACTAAAAATTAAAAAAAAAAAAACTTTAATCTGATTTTTTTTAATGAGTACTCACAATCACTTTTTCTTTGTTTTACTTTTTCTATGTTTTTTTCTTTTGATTTTGACCAAAGAAAGCTAATTAAAGGCAGCTTTAATGTTAAACTGTAGAATGATTAAGGATGTCTATTGAGTTATTGATCATGGGGCCTTATATAAAGATTCTTACTATACATTGCCTACAATTATATTGTAAAAGCTAAAAAATATTGCATTCCATATTCTACAATTTTTGCCTCAAACTGTGAATATTCAAGAAAAAAAAGAATCACACTGCAAACATGACTTAACTCTTTTTCTTATAAGAAAAGATTCAATGGGTCAAGTGGACAGCCTGTTTATAAACAGACACCTAAAAAGGAAAGAAAGTTCAAATTGACTAATATTTGTTTTTTTTGTCTATAGTACCTGTACAACTTGAAAAATAGAAAACTGATGTTAATCTATGGACTAACTCTTTAAAACATCCTGAACCCAATATTGTTTACCTATTCAAATATAATACATAAAAGAAAAACCAGCAAGTTGTAAAAGCAGAATATGATACTTTTCTATGCTAAGCTCAGCACAACAATCATCAAGTCAAACATAATTTAGAATATATTATGATCAATCTCAAAGTTTCCACTCTTTTTTCTCCAATAAGTTATTCTTATTAAGTTAATAATGTTTGCAGATTAAATTTTAAAAACTTAAATAACCCCAAATAAACACGAAATTCCTTGGAGTAGACAATGTAATCAGAAAACCTTGGACCTAAGAGCTCTCCATCTCTGAATTTGTAATTTGGAATATCAGGATATAATGATTTTTTAAAATACTTGTGCAATATTTTAGACATTGTTTATACTATACACT